CTCAAGAAACATTATTATCAATGTTGAAAATAGTTGTGCTGCTTAATATTTTTGTGGAAATCATGAAACTTTTTTTCAGGATTGTTATATGAAAAGGTTCAAAAGAACAGTATTTATTTGAAAAGGAAATCATTTGTAACATTATAAATGTTTTACTGTCACTTTTGATCATTTTAATGCATCCTTGCTGAATCGTCTTACTGACCCAAACTTTGGAATGGCTGTGTGTGTCAACATCATCTGTCTTAAATGTTTGTGCTGTTTTTGTTAATGGTTTATGCTTGTACAGGAGGGTCTACAGGAGCTTAATAACACCTCTATCAGGCCACAAGTAAAACCCTGGATCAGCAGCTTCCTGTCTGTCTCACACAATATTGAAGAGGTATGATATGATAACATTGCCGTATCTACTACTACTATTACGACTTCTACTGATAAAGAGTGGAAATAAATCTGTCTGCACTTGAGTTGACAATGATAGCAATATAAATACTTTTTTACTTTTATTTATTTTTTTAATTTTTCTTTTATTTATTTATTTGTTTGGGGATAAGTTAAGCCGTGCTTTGTTTTGTTTTTAGGAAGAGTTCGGTGAGTATGAAGCCAATGATCCTTGGGTTCAGCAACTCGTTGTCCAGTTGGAGCAGCTTATGGCCGAGTTTAAGGTATATTCATTTTAACCCATTTATAAAACCTATTATAATACTAAAGATGCCTCCCTGTAGGTGGGCCTGTCACCAGTCATTTACGATACTCTAACTAGCCTGATGACCAGCCTCATCGCTATGGAGTTGGAGAAGACTGTGTTCAAATGCACCTTCAGCAGGGTGAGATGTAAACCTGCCCTGTACAAATGAACAGCCACATATTTGCTTAAAGTCACAGACATCCTAACTGTCCTCTCCATTCTGCATTGCAGCTTGGTGGATTACAGTTTGATAAGGAGCTGCGTGCTTTGGTTGCCTACCTCTCCTCTGTCACCTCCTGGACCATCAGGGATAAGTTTGCCCGACTCACACAGATGGCAACTATTCTCAACTTAGAAAGGGTATGTGACTTTTTGACTGGCATTTAAATTTTTTATCACTGAAAACTGGTCTAAGTGTATAAGAAAAGAGTCGTTTTGAATTTTGTTTGTGTTTTTCTTCCTTTAGGTGTCTGAGATCCTGGATTATTGGGGACCCAACTCTGGGCCTTTGACTTGGCGTCTGACCCCTGCTGAGGTTCGCCAGGTCTTGGCTCTAAGGGTAGATTTCCGCAGCGAGGACATTAAAAGATTACGACTCTAACAGAACTAAACAAAAACGCTTTCCACTTAAGGTTTTTATGCATAGAAATGGTGTTTTGGGTAACTTGAATGGAGGTGTGTTATCTCTGAACTTTTGTATAAGCAATTTCTTCTTCTTTTTACATATGTAATGTATTACCAGCCAACATTGTGAATCAAATAGTCCATGAGCTATTCTGAAGCTCACACTCACTTAAATAAGCTACATACAATTAAAGGCCAGTATCTTCTGCCCACAAAAGTATTTTTTGCTAAATACTGGAAAGGTTGGTTAATTTAAAGATGCTTTACTTAAGACAATTCATTAAAATGAAGATTCCTAGAATAAATGTGATGCCACGAGGCTTCAAATAGAAAAGAAATAGTTCTCTATAGTGCACAATATATTCATAACTTGTGTGGTAAAGAATCTTACAAAGGGGATTCAGAACTAAACCATTTGCTTAAATGTCATACCACAAAAAAACTCCCACAATTTATAGTTCAAAAGCAGTTTACTTCAACCAATCATCTTTTCTAACTGCATTAACCTGCATGTAAAGAATCAGTTCGTCTGGACCAGAAGCTCTGATCTGATACACTTGGACATTAAAAATAAAGAAAACCAAACGATAAGCAGTTGTTTACACAGGTATGAAGCAGTCTCTGTGTGCATGTAACATGGTTATTGAAGTGTGGCAGTAGGCTGATCTTGGGTCTGCTGCCTCCAACACTCAAACAGCACAAACGTGTATCATTAAATATTAAATGAGAAGGACCAGTCTGCTGAACTCATCTCAGTTCCCGTGTAGCGCTGTGCCTGACAGCTCGTGCATACAGGTTGAACTCCTGTATCTGCGCTATAACACACAGCTTGTCTACTATCTGAGTCCTGGAGAAAGTTTAAATGAGAACTACGATGCTACTTAATTGTCGTCGCCTTGTCTTACAGAAGCACCGAACGCAGACCGTCCTTTGCGTCTTTAGTCCATCGTTTCTTTGCGTTGTCGTCAGAGTTTCCTCGTAATGATGGTGTTGGCGGAGATCAGACGGTCCCGCTCCCGCAGCTCCTCCTGCAGCCGTGCCTCGTTGACGCGCAGCTGTCGGATAATGTTCTTCGTCTCCTTCATTTTGATCTCCATCAGAGCAATGATGTCCCGCTGCTCATTCAGCTTCCGCAGCAGTTCAGCGGAAGTTGTGCCGGTGGTTAGAGAGTACGAGTGATCAACTCCGCACAGCACGAGATCGGCCACGGGGCACGATGCGCTGCCTCCGGACAGATTTCCGCCCGAGACCACCGCTGTGAGGCAGGAGCCGTCTCCTGAAGATGTGAAGTCTACGGGCGTGATGTACTGGCCGTTCTGACCTATCTGCACCACGGTGGCGTTTTCGGTGTCCCCTTCTTCCTCCACTGGCACTGACTCGTTAGCTGTGGAAACGACCGCGGAGACCTTCCTGCTCCTGCCCCGTCTGCTCTTCCTCTCGTTCACCCCGCGCAGAGGGAAAAGAGTCGGGACGCGAATGGTGTAGGTTTTCCTGCCTCCGGGAAAGTGGACGCTGCAGACCCGGTGGCCGGTGGTGGGCTGGAAAGTGCTGAAGCAGCCGCTCACCCCGGCCCGCGAAATGTTCTTCAGCCATATCTCTCGCTGAGCGGGATCCTTCGGAAAGGTGTAGAATCGCAGATCGCGGTCCCGGTGTGAGTTGTTGTAGCATCCCGGAACGCAGCAAGTAAAGCCGGGCATGATTGTGTAGAAGATGCACCAGTATTAGCGCAGTCCCTTGGAAGTTTCCCTAATTTTGTTATGCTTGGTTTCTTCGTGTGCTGTTATCCAGACCAACGGCCTACAAGCGGAACTACACGTCCCACAATACTTACGACTTCCTGTTTTGGTTTCAAACGCTGGTCGATAGACTCGCGTCTGCTCAGTTATACGCCTGTGGAGGACTTCACAATGCAAGGCAACGAGTGTTTGTTTAAACAGTGTTTAACTACTATGTACTATGTGTAACAAACCTAGACAGTTTTGAAATCATATATGTATGCTAAAAATAGAAGTAGTTTCATTCCTTTGTAAATCAGTGTAAGGCACAGAGCGTGCTGTTGTTAACTGGTGCATTGTAGCACCAATTGCAAACTTAATTTTGTGTAGCCTATATCATTTTTATTGTGGTAATTACATTGACTTATTCTAAATAATGATGGCATCCCCCATCAGCACTCCCAGTTAACCAAAACATTTCAAACAATGTGTCTTGTTAAGGAAATGCATTACATCACAGCAGCATGAGCAACCGATGCCTACAAAAATATATAATGTATGTAATTTATTAATAGCCCTTCAAAATGGCATGACCACCAATATTTATTATGTAGCATGTGCTTACATCATATAAATAGAGAGGTCCAAAGCATCTAAGGTCAATCTAGGTTGCTTATCTTCATGATAAGCCCTGAACACTACGTAAATATGCCTTTGTACCTACGATAAAGAGGTCTTTTGAAGGGATAGTTCACCCAGAAATGAAAATTCTGTCATTTAGATGACACCAGTTTCTTTCTTTGGTTGAACACAAAAGAGCGTATTTTGAAGAATGCTGGTAACCAAATAGTTTCTGGTAGCCTTTCTTCCACTGACTATGGAAGAAAGAAACACATACAGTCATGGCCAAAAGTTTTGGCAGTGACATAAATTGTGTTTTGCAAAGTTTGCTGCTTAAGCTGTTGTGGTGTTCATTCACATTGTTTCTAGATTATTGTGTAGAGTGATCAGATGCATTTTAAATAATTGCTAAAAGCTTCATTGGCCAAAAAATGATCTTTACACAAAAAAGCAAATTTCACAGTTTTTTGATCCTAACACAAAATGACCAGCTAACATTAACTGACTAATCAAATCAGCAGCACATGTGAAAGTGTGAATGAGTACTAGTCATACTAGTCCTACTACTTGTTTCACTTCTGTTTCAGTTTTTTTATAACCATTTCTTAATATGTGTCAGTAAGTTGTTGTTATTTTAGCATGTGTGTTTGGCTCAGTGTTATTTTTTGGGATTACTGATAAACTAATGTAGTTTGATTGTATTTGTTTTTCAGTATACCATAGAAACATGTAGAAAAATAATCTACAAATACTGAAGCAGCAAACTTCGAAAAAACACAATTTATGTCACTGCCAAAACTTTTGGCCATGACTGTACAGGTTGGGAACAACATGAGAGTGAGTAAATTACAATTTTCATTTTTGGATGAACTATCCCTAGAATGTTTTCTTTTTCAACAAATTGTCATGTGAACGAGGTTTGAATTTTTTGAGGCCATATTACCAAAATATTAGGAAACGAATATGTGCAGTTTCAATTCTGATTTGTGATATTTTCTAGTAAGGGTACAAATAATGTTATTTCACGCGTGTCACAATTTTAAGGAATATAACCTATTTACTGTACAAAGAAAAACGGTTTTAATAATTACAAATATTATATTACAATTAATCTAATATCAATTCAATGGATTACCTCAAAATCGTGACTTTGTATTGTTTTCATTCGATGCAACCGAGGAGACCTCTGTTGTGGGACAGACTAAAATCGTTTAAAACTACTTTTTATGCTGGGTTCTTGGATATGTTTAATTACAAGTTATATACTTGTTTATCAGACTTATTTATTATGTCCTACAACCAAAAACTTGTGACTGTGCATTTAGACTAAAAGACTGAATTCCTGGAATGTGTGTTTCAGTTCAATGGGCGTGGCAGGAAAAAAAACCAGACCGTTTCGCGCACGCGCACATTATCGAACGTCTAGTTTGGGAAATCAGCAATGAGTCCACACAGCAATGAGCCGTAAACGCAGAAGGAGCATTGTGGGATTACACGCGAAACAACACACCGTGATTTCAAGACGGACGAAGAATGTCCCATACGTTGAGAGGGTGGGAGGCGTGACGGGTTTGTCCTGTTTTTCCTCCTGCTGTTGAGACACGACATGAGAGCTCAAAGCCCTGGCTAAAGTGGAGCTGAAAGGGAGGGAGGTGTCCACCATCCTCTGGCCGTCATCATTCTCCACAGCACCGGCGCCATAGCATCCCAAGGCTTTGTGTTTCGGTAAGTTACATCCCGTATGGAACTAACATAGTCGTTTAAAAGGGAACTAACGTTAACCGAACGCTTTGAATTTGTACGAGTTCAAATGGATGTGTATTTTTGTGAGTCTGTGTGGCTGGACTGGACCGGTCTCGGCTAAGCTACAACGTTAGGTATCTGGTACAATGAATGTTTAGTTTGAAAGTTTTGTGGTTTATATTGTTTTAAGTAAAATATAACACAACCAACGTCTTTAAATGCTCAAATTTAAAACTCTTAAGGGATAGCTAATCCGCCCGTCATCCGAGGGTTAGCGCGAGGAAGTGATGCTAATGTTAGTGTGCCCCTAATATGGGTCCCAAAATTGATATAATTTACATTTCTTTATTAAAAACGTCATAATTCATTCTTCCATGTCAGTTCTTTAGGGATGTTCTTGAGAGTCGTAGTCTTTTGCTCACCCTTTCTCGAGGTATTTACTTAGAGACATGGATGTTAGCAAATCAAGACTTTCTTTTAGCCCTACTAGGAACTACCTTGTGTTTAGTCTATAGAGGAAATACAAACATGCTTCTCATTTGCCTTTGCTGGGCAGGTGCACAGCCATTGGGATGTAAATTAAATTGCAAGCCAGCTGGTAGGTCAGCAACGCCCAGGCTTGTATCTGACAGCTTTCACTCGAGCCACTGATAACAGCGGGGTCATAAAGCTCCTTATCTCTATTGTGTATTGATCATGATAGCCTGAAGTGGCCCTGAGGTTAATTTTAACTTGAAGCTTGGTGTCGGCATGCTTGCTATTACATGCACTGCGTCTAGAGATAATTTTGCATTCCTGTGTAAATGTCAGCGTCAGTGAACTTTGATGTTTCTCTCTTTTTTTCACAGGCGAGCATCTGTGTCACAAGAGATTACATTAGCAGTGTGGAATGAGACACCGACTTGCGTGAAAGTGTCTTCTGTTAGAATAATGTTGCCGGGCGTGGGTGTATTTGGAACAGGGCAGACGGTACGTACCCTGGTGCCGTTGCTCCAAAAGGAAGGCTTCCCTGTTCAGGCTGTTTGGGGCCGTAAGCAAGAGGAAGCAGAGTCACTAGCCAGCGAGTTGGACATTCCCTTTTCCACTAACAAGACAGATGATGTGCTGCTACACCCAGAAGTCCATCTTGTCTGCATATTGACACCTCCTCCACACACACGGCAGATTGCGGTAAAAGCTCTAGGTGATACTTATTTTTCTTTACCTCTTATCTTGATTGTCCATGTTGTCTCAGGGGAGTGGGTTGGGTTCTTTCCTGGACTCAACTAGTGTTTACTGTGCTACTGTTTACTTTACAACTTGGCACAAGCCACAGTGGGCTTTTTTCCTGCTGATCAAATGTTCCATTCTCAGATCACAGTGAACCCCGCAGCACGGTTGAGATTATGCCAATAAAGCACTTGCTTCAAGCAGAAACTTGTTAGGCAAACAACATTTGCAGTTTTGGTCATCGTTATATAATCATTTTCTTGTCTTTTTTCATTCTCTATAGGTATAGGTAAAAATGTGATCAGTGAGCAGGCAGCTACACTGACAGATGCCTGTAAGATGGTGACAGCGGCAAGATATTATCCACAGCTTATGAGTATCATGGGAAATTCCTTGCGCTTCTTGCCCGCATTTGTCCAGATGAAACGCCTGCTTGGAGAGGGTTATTGTGGGAACTTGCAGGTATTGGAATTTCACCCAAAAAATACAAATAAAAATAGGTGTATACATTCAATTAAAAACTTGGGGTCAGTAAGATTTTTTTTGAAAGAAATTAATACTTTTATTCATCAAGGATGCTATAAATCATTCTTATATGCTGATTTTTAACAGAATTTATTTGAAATAAAAATCTTGGGATCGTGTGACTCTGAAGACTAGAATACTGGCTGCTGAAATTACAGCTTTGCCATCACAGCAATAAAAAACTGATTATTTTAAATTGTAATAATCTTTCACAATATTACTTTTTACTTTGTTTTTACTGGTTGTAAAATGCAGCCTTGGTAAGCATAAGTCCTAATTATTCCAATCTTCTGAACGGTAGTGTATATAATGATATTTATATAATGACAAAAATGTTAAGATTAAATATACCAGTAAATGCTGTTCTTCTGAACTTTCTATTTAAAGAATCCCTGAAAAAAATGTATCATGGTTTTTCTACAAAAAATTGGAAGCTCTTTCAAACACTGATAATAATAAGAAATGTTTCTAGACCACCAAATCAGCACATTAGAATGATTTCTGAAGGATCATGCGATTGCGCTTCTTGCCCGCATTTGTCCAGATGAAACGCCTGCTTGGAGAGGGTTATTGTGGGAACTTGCAGGTATTGGAATTTAAAAAAAAATTTTAACAGATACATTAATCATTCAATCAAAAGTTTGGGGTCCACATTCTTTTTGAAAGAATTTAATACATTTATTCATCAAGGATGCAATAAATCATTCTAATATGCTGATTTTAAACAACATTTGATTTTTAACAACATTTAAAATAGAAATCTTCTGTATCGTGTGTCTCTGAAGACTGGAGTAATGGCTACAAAAAAATTCAGCTTTGCCATCACAGCAATAAATTAAATTTTTTAAATATATTGAACAGATTATTTTAAATTGTAATAATCTTTCACAATTTTACTGTTTTTGTTCAAATAAATGCAGCCTTGGTAAGCATGAGAGACTTATTTCAAAAACATTAAAAAGTCTTAATTTTTCCAATGTTTTGAACAGTAGTGTGTATAATGATATTTATATAATGACATGAATGTTAAGATTAAATATAATACCAAAAAATGCTGTTCTTCTGAACTTTCTATTCAAAGAATGCTAAAAAAAAAAAAAAAAAAAAAACTGTGTATGTATATGTTGAATATTAATGTCCATTTAAAATGTGCTTGTTTTCTGGGTTTTGTTTCTCTACATATTCAGCCTGCATTATTACATTAGTAATACATTATATTTGAAAATAGTGGATAAAAGCATCTGCTAAATGATTAAAATACATTAAAACAATATTAACATATTTAATAAGTTAAAATTGTAAGAAATTTCACAAGATTACTATTTTTACTGTATTTCTGAACAATTAAATGCAGCTTTGGTAATATTTCTTTCAAAAACATTAAACAATCTTTAAAATCTTATATAAAATAATAATTTTTGTTGGATTAAGTGACTGTTAAAAATCTGCATAGTAATTCAAAGTTCAAATTGTAAGCCATTCTTAAAATACTAATCATCTTGACTTCCCTTTGTTAGGGCATATGTTACTTTATTACGTAACTCAGACTGGTCAAAATAAAGAACTTATTCACTTAACGTTTTTTCTCTCTTTTTCAAGGTATGTGAAGCACGTGTTTATGGAGGCTCGCTGCTCAGCCAGTCATATGGATGGGCATGGGAGGAGCTCATGGGGGGAGGTGGCCTGCATACAGTTGGCTCATGCATCATTGACCTCCTGAGCCACCTCACGGGACGTCGGGCTGTGCGAGTGCATGGAATGCTCCGGACGTTCGTATGTAAGAGTGGCCCGGCCGGAGGGATTCGATCTGTAACCGCAGATGACTACGCTTGCTTTCAGCTGCTGATGAGTGGAGGCGTGGTCTGCAGTGTGACATTAAACTTCAATCTACCTGGCACAGATGTGCATGAGATCATGCTTGTGGGGTCATCAGGACGACTTGTTGCTCGAGGAACAGAGCTGTACGGCCAACGGGCCAGCATGCAAGTAGAGGAGCTTCTTTTGAGCGATGGTGGAGAAGCTGTTGGGCCATCTGTCAGGGGACTGAACGGCATGGTGACTCAACTCAGACTATCTTTTCAGGCACAAGAGGACAGGCGCTCTTGGGTGCGGCATCCTGTTTCCATGGCAGCCTCCTTCGAGGATGGGTTGTATGTACAGACGGTTGTAGATGCTATCAAACGGTCAAATCGCACTGGAGAGTGGGAGTCAGTGGAGGTCAAGATTCAGGATGTTGACCCAAACCACAACCACAGAACCCTGCCAAACTAACACTACACACACGGTTACATTTTACATTTGCTATCTCAAGGTCAAGCCTATTAATATCATTCACCTTCTTTTACAATAAAATAACCATGCTTTCATTTTAAGCATAAAGATATTAATTTAACTGAAAGTTTATGCATAATAACTGGAAGTTTTAAGTTAGAGTTGGGTTGCTAATGCTTATGCAAAACACTGGAAATGCATCACTGGATAGGAATTGTGGTTTCAGGGTTGTTTTGTTGCTTATTTACTGTAACAAAAACAGATGTGAAAAGCTTAGCTGTGAAAAACAATTTCTGTGCTCTTCATGTTTTTATGTGATCTTTTGAGGTTAAATTTGAGTCACAGGGGTTTAAATGTGAACCTCTTACGTTTTTATATTTATATGAATAGTGAATATAATAAGCTTGTGCTCTGCTGAGGATTTTTTCTGTATATGTGTGCATGAGAGAGAGAGAGCTTTATGGCACTGATAAACTTATTATGCTGGACACTAGATATCATTTACTGTAATGTACCTGTTGTGACTTATAGCCTGATGTCCAATGCATTGGACATGCTAACGGTTCTACTAAGCTGCACAAAGTTTATTGAATTATATTTTTTATTGCTGAATTTGTGTCTGTGCACTGTTTAAGAGCAAATGATGGGTTGGTGTGTGGATGGTGTTTTTATTCATTGTTATAAGTTTAAAAATAAATATTACTTAATTTAACTAAATATTTTAAAATCTGAGTTTTAAAACAAATACCCGCTGAATAACAGAACAGATATTTACCTTATTTTGTTCTTTTTAAATGTGGCTTTGACACGAATATCTGCCGGCATTCTAAAGGGGGCGCTAAAGGGTTGTGTCTAGATGGTAACCCTCGTTTGAAATTCTCGCGAGATTAGTTAATGTTCTATGCTTCGAGCTCTTGGTTTGGGAATCGTGCATCACGGAGAATGGACAGGACAACTATTTTTTTTTTATAATGCTTTGCCAATTTTTGAAAATCACATTACTAAGAGGATTCTGACGATGTGAAGCTTGTACATGTACAGTTACAATGTTTTGGACTTAAGAGTCAATAAATGTATATTAAACAATCTTTTAATTCTAAACAAACCAAATGATTTTCGTATAGTGAACTTAGTATTTATGTGACGTGCAGTTCTATTTTCACTATAAACAGCCTTGATTAGTTCAATCATACACAATTCAGTAATCAGTAAATGAACTTAATAATTATTATAATTTAAATAGCCAACAAAGTATTAACAAAGCCACTAGCACCAAAAAGGCAGTAACTTAAAACGTTTGAAAACAATTTAACATTGTAGACGGAAGTTTATACAAACAAGATGAAAACAAAACAAAACACTAGCTTCTCTAATCTTTTTGTATTCTATTTGTTTTCTTTTTATTTATTATACAATTAACAAAAGCAAAAAGGGCCTCTAACACTAGCTTGCTCTATTCTATCTGTTTTCTTTTTATTTATTATATCATTTAAAAAACCTTGCTATGTGTACTGCGTTAAGATGAGACTTGTTATAGCACTTGCATATCATTGCTTTCTTGATAAAAGCGTCTGTTAAATGACTAAAAAAAAAGATGACCCTACTAAAAGACAAAAAGTGGATGATACATGCTTCATATACAAAACGATGAACTATTGTTTTTGTTTCTTCCTCACATTTTTCTCACTGACTTGACCAACGCGTCAATGACAATACGCATGCGCGAGAATTAATCGCAAAGAAGGTTACCATCTAGAATAAGGCGATCAGTCAGTCAGTATTCAAAGCCGACTAGTTCGAAAATGGCGGCACGAAAGCGAAGTATAGTCTGGTCATTTTTCCAAGCTGAAGATGACAGAAGAGTGTTGTGTCTTCTCTGTATGAAGACGGTTTTGTATTTTGGCCACACGACAAACATGCTTCGCCATTTACGAACGAAACACCCCTCTGATTTTTCCTCGTTGGACAAAAGGAAGCCAGCGACAGATGCGGTATCCAAACGCAACGATAGTGGTTGCGTGGAAGGTATGAAAGGTTCATCTATTGTATTGCATTGTTTACCATCATGTACAGTGTCATGATGTGTACAGTGATACGTCTATTAGACACCTGGTTGGTTATGAAACTTAGAAAAGACACCTTATATATTTTTTTCTTTGATTTGTGATGTTTTCCCCTCCATTTTGGCCTACTATGCACGTGCTTATAACTCACCACATGTGGGTCCAAAGCCAATACAAAGGCGCTTTATCGTTCAAAACAGCTCTCGTTGTGACTGTGAGATTCTGTATCGACTCCTCAGTAAGAACGGGTTCGTTTTACAGAGTCTTTAATCAAAGCGACTAGAGTTACGCTTAGGCCAGGGTTTTGGGTGGATGTCGCAACGACGCCATGTTGTTTTTTCAAACAATTGTCTATTGCGTTGCCCGTTTATAGAAGGCCAATTTTGCGTTTTTGATAGAATCTCAAACGAATTCCCCCGACTGGAGTCGTTTCGACTCGACTCGACTCGTTCAGTCAAACGAATGAATCTTTTGAATCGTGTCGCTGATTTGGATCAGCAATATACGGTGCTCTGACTGAAAGAGGCTCCCCGCCCCCTCCTCTCCAGAATAAACTGGACAGAAAACCTTCAAACGTAATGACCCCGTTCTGTATGTATTAAATAATATATACGAACGATCTATGATTGGTGAATTGTACATAATGTCTGTCATTTTCTAAAATCTCAATTGCATTGAACTGTATTTGATCCGTAATTGTCACGTGATGCACCATCTGTCACATCCCCGGATGGGCGCGATTTTTGAAAAAAAATTCTAAAGCTAGTAGGTCATTGGCTGAAACTAAGATTATTTGTCGCTATGCCTGTTTTAATATTACTTACGTTATAAAATATATAGTAATAAACAGATAGGGATAGAAATGGTTATGACATACAGCACTTGTTGATCATGTCAGTGCTCAGCTTCCATGTCAATCATTGATTTTGTTGCTTAGCAACGTTCTGTTCTGTCGTCATCTAGCGGAAGGCCGCTTAATGATTTAGCTTATGTATCTCAGAAGCCCAATTTGTAGTTTCAAATAAAGCGTTATGGATTGAGCATCTTTTGTCGAATGTGCACTTATTCCCTCATTTGCCTTATTTTTCTGTTTACCTTTAGCTTTGCATAATTTTGTTTTTAACTATCTCATTGTCTTTTAGTAATACATATTACTTAAATGCAGATTATTACAAAAGCTATTTTGTGCTGCTTATTGTCTGTAATTCAGCCTGTCCTCATGCACTCTACAAACACAAGGGACAAGCATTTAAAGAGTGTCACAGATTCAGTTAAAGTGCGTTTAGCCATGTGAAAATATTCTATGCATCTAATTTTTTCCTCATTTTTTTTCTGTATCAAGTTACAGTATTAATGGATGAGCAGCAGGTAGAGGTGGAGTCCGTGGGAGAAGATGGCGAAATGGATGGTGCCATCAAAGGGATCCTCCGTGCTGCGGCAGGGGAAGGGACAACTGAAGCAGAGGTGGCTGATGAGGAAGGCGAGGGGCCTGTTGATGAAGGGGATGGGAAAGAGATACAAGAGGATGAGAACCCAGCTAATACTCGCAAGTGGAGCTCCGTGTGGGTGCACTATCGGAAGCTTGGCCAGGAGCCGCGAGCCTTGTGCTTGCTCTGCATGGAGAAGATCCAGCACCGGAGTAGCACAAGTAATCTTATCAGACATCTACAGCATAAGCATCCCAATGAGTTCGCACAACTCGAAGATCACCCACAAAAGCGGCCTAACAAGCGCAAATCTGAAGATCCAAGCCGCATTGCCTCCTCTCCCACATTAGCAAGTGGGACCCCAACCAGATCACACATTGTGTCACCGAAGCGGGATGTCCGTACACCTTGCAGTACCAGCCTAGACAGATATTCAGGTATAGTTTATAGTTCTTCTCTATGTTCGTGTTTTACATTTTGTGTGAAAAGGTTGTTGAGCCATTGTTATTATAATACTATGTTTATTGTAATTATTATGCTATTATAGTTAATTAGAACTTAAACTATAAAAATTATTAATTGAGATAAAATATAAAAAACCTTAAACTTATTTTTAGTCATTGCCCAGGGAAAAAATTCTAATTTTCATTTAGTTTAACATGATGCACTAAAGTAATTAAAACAAAAAATTTATGAAAACTATACAGACATTATACATACATTATATATATATTTATAAAAAAAATATATATAATATGCACAAAAATACTAAAACTTTATAATTTTCTTTTAAGTTATTAAAAAACAAATTCAAAATATTAATAACAACACAATGATACTAATAACTATTGATGCACTGGTACTAAACTTCTCTGCCAATACTGATAGCTGATTATTCAAAATTATATTATCTACCAGTAGTTTGGTTTTCTTAAGGAAAAAAAATCTCTCCAAACTAATGCTGTAAACTGTACAGAGAACCCTATAATTTGGTACATTATCACAGTATTGGAGGTTAAAATTGACAGCAGAACCCATTATATTCAACTTCTATTTATTTTAAAATATAATAATCACACTCAACTGAAATGTTTGTTTACAACTCAAGTAAGTTTATTCAAACATGCATATATAAATAACAGTAAATAAGCTCCCCATTTTTGTAGTTAAATAACGAACTGGGAACACTAGATAACTCCTGATGCAACATTAAGTGACGTTGATCAGTCACACGCTGTTTTATTAATGTGTTTCCATGGTTAAAGCGCTAATTGAGTAATTACATAACACATGATACATTTTGGTAAGTTGTACTGTCTTTCCACATACCTTCTGATTTTCAATCATGTTTATTTCATGCTACTATTAAATTAATTAATAAACCATTGAAGTGGAATTGATGACTCAAACCGCTGTGGAATTGATTTGCCATGGCACATTTAAGAGCATCAAAATGGCATTTATTGTTTGAATTTTCTGATAAATTGGACAGAATTTGAGAGCTGAGACTGTTTCTTATCAGAAGTAATAAAGCACAAAGCTCCTTGCAGTTGTTCTTTGATTATGCTTCTGTGCCTATGTTAAGAGCTTTAATTTCACAATTTTTTGGTCCCTTAGGTGCTAAGTGGTCTGAGGGTGTGCGTATATTGGAAAGAGAGCGGGAGCTGACAGAGGCGTTGAGGCGTGTCCAGCAGGAAGAGGGGCGGAGCATACAGCTGCAGAAGGAGTTACTGCAGCAGTTCCGTGAAATGGATGCTGAACGCAGAGTGCTTCAGAACCAGAAATGTGAACAAGAGCAGGAGCACGCAAGATTGCGGAAGGAAAAAGAAGAACTCCAGAAGGAGAAGAATGAACTCCAGAGGGAAAAAGAGGAGCTGCAGAAGGAGAGAGAGGAGATTCAGAAAGAGAAAGAGGAGCTGGAGAAGCAGAAACAAGAACTGGACTCTTGGAAAAATTCTCATGCGCAGGGACAGACCTCTGGATTTTACAATTGTTGATATACTTCAGTATGTCTGTTTCACAAGGAAACAAGGATTTCCTTTTTATGGGAGATAGTTATTTCTTTATCCTTTTTATTTTTACAAGATTGATTTGGATTGTGGGGATGGGTTTTTGGGAGTGGGGGAAATGCCAGGGATGTTGTATTTTGTTTAGCTAAATGAAAATTTACCTTAACCTACCAGGATTTCAAACACGTACATGCATGCGAATTATAGATTACCTGCCGTTAAAATAGAGATTCATAATAAGGCCTTTCATGTCGGACATCTAGAAAATCAGTTTCATTAAATCTACTCACTCTGTGTGTGTGTGTGTATATATATATATATGAATATGAATATGAGTGTTAACACAAAAAGTTCATGTTCGTTCCAAAATCGACCAGTGTGTGAATGTATTCAAGTGTTTTGTACATTTCTGCACTGGGAATAAAAAGAAAACTTACAGCAAATGTCCTTTCACAGTCATTTGTGCCATTTTTGTTATTCCTGCACAAGAGTTGATAACCTATCACATTATGTCACGGTTTTATTTTTATTTTTTGAGTTGACAGTATTGGTTAACATGATGGATACAGTGTTAATATTTATTGTGAAGAGAAATTTAAATGAACTAACATGTTTTTACACGCATCTATTCAAAGCTTTCAAAAACTAATAGTTTAGCATCAAGAAGTTTCTAACATTTTTTTAAACCAATGAGACCAGATTGTCTACCCGTTGCCGAATAGGCCATTACAGGATCACACACAAGTTTTTAATTTAAGGAGAAGATCCACCAATATGTCCTTTAGTCAAAACAGAAAGCATGTTTTATGAGATCGTACTGGTTTTAACCCTGTGTGAGAGGGTTAGTAACTCAGTAATCAATCAGTAAAGTTTTTTTTATTGTAAAAACCTGATATAGTTTTACCAAAATGTTCTCGTCATGAAAATAACCACATAAGATGGTGTTTAAAAAAAACTATTTTAGCATCTCGGAGGATATACTAGTGCTTGCATGCCAGCAAAAGATTAGTGTTCAAGTTTTAGGTGAGATGATAGAAATGTTAAAAACACAAAGAATGATCAAGGTAGGTAGAGAGAGGGGGGAAATCTGTAGGATTTAAAGAGATAATTCACCCACAAATACAAAATTCTGTCATTTCAAATCTGTATGACTTTCTTCTGTGGAACATAAAACTTTTGATGAAAGTTAATTGTTCAGCAAAATAAAGTAATGTAGTCAAACATTATTATAGGAATTAGGAAATTATTACTTTTCTGTAATTTAATCAGAAGCCAAAACGTGTGAGGAAAAATAAGGCAATTTTTATACACTGCTCGTCTCACATATCCTGTAAAAAACGGCAACCACCTGCCGTAATACGGCTGCTGCAAATGATCACGTGATTTGTGTCAGTTACGACGCTTCGGTCGCAGCAGCAGCAGTCCGTATATGTCTGCAAAAGGCTGATTCCGAGTCACAACATTTGGAAATATCGTTGGAAGAGTTTTTCTTCTGGTCCTGACTGTCAGAACATTTGGACATTTCCACCCAGCCCGTCTAATTCGCCATCATAATGCTGAATTTCTGTCCTCAGTGTGGCTCGAAGTTACAGTCTGGTTTCAGATTTTGTCCGTCATGTGGTGGGAAACTGCCAGAAGAGCTAACAGAAGCTGTAGCTTCACAGCCATCCGAACCACATCCAAACTCTGTGCTTTCATCTGTGCGCGCCATTGAAGGTAAATACAGGTTTTTTGTTCATCCTTATTTTAATTACATTTATCCGAAAAGTGTCATCAAGGACTACAGTTCGTTTTGCTTGAGAGTCCTTATCAAAGAAGCAGAACAAGGTTATATAAAGTATAATATAGTAAAGCAACCAAAGACGGGCCGAATGGTCATGATGACATACAGTAATGCTTTGATTCATGTCTTCAACGCAACTTAAATACTTGAGTACATTACAACTGTTGAGTGGACCAAATGTTTGCTTGCTTCATATTTACAATGATAAGATAACTCTTTATTGATACATAGGTAAATTCAGGTGATGACATGGTCCAGTTTTCATGATTCATTTGTCATTTAGTTAATCTCCCAGCTCCCCGTAGTTGTCTAGTTGTAGCAGGTTTCAAAGTGGGCTTAATGTAATATCAGCATTTAACTGAAAGATTGAAAATGTTATATATATCAGGGCTCTACGCTAACTTTTCTTTTTAGGAGCACTTGTGCTCCTAACTTAAATTTAGGAGCACGTTCAAAATTTTAGGAGCACCTTCTAATCAATAATCCAAAATGTTATCAAAAATTTGCCTTCCCATTACGAGGTGATATTTGACTCCTTAAAGTGATTAACAGTGGAATTTTGTTTTTACCTTTGTAATGGCATTTTTCTATTCGCAAATGCGCTGAAACTTCTTTCGCACTGTAGAGCCCTGTATATGCAGTGCATCGTTATGATATTTGTTAACCAGACATAAACCAGTCATATTTGTTTAAAATAACTTGAGAGATTTTCCCCCCCATAAATCCCATGAATGGTCTCAACTGTATTCAATATTGATTGATACACCAAATCAGCATATTAGAATGATTTCTGAAGGATCGTGTGGCTGAAGACTGAAGAATGGCTGCTGGAAATTCAGCTTTACAATCACAGGAAAAAAAATTTACGCAGTATTGCATTTTTATTGTAGTTGTAGTTCATCAATTAAATACAGCCTTGGTGAGCGTAAGAGACTTCTTTCAACAACATTAAAAAACATCTTCCAACCCCAAACTTTTGAATGGTAGTATATGCATAATACTTGTAAATCTATACTGAACAAAATTATAAACGCAACACTTTTGTTTTTGCCCCCATTTTTCATGAGCTGAACTCAAAGATCTAAGACTTTTTCTATGTACACAAAAGGCCTATTTCTCTCAAATATTGTTCACAAATCTGTCTAAATCTGTGTTAGTGAGCACTTCTCCTTTGCCGAGAAAATCCATACACCTCACGGGTGTGGCATATCAAGATGCTGATTAGACAGCATGTTTAAATTCAAATAAGATTTCACAATATTACTGTTTTACTGTATTTTTTGATAAAATAAATGCAGGCTTGGTGAGAACAAGAGACTTCTTTCAAAAACATTTAAAACATTTTAGTGACCTCAAAGTTTTGAATGGCAGTGCATATATAATCATAGATGCCAATACATAGTGAGGAAAGCCTCCAAATGAAGATAATTCAAGACATTACATTGTGTTAGAAAAGTAATTAAATTGACATTACAAAAATGGTTTTTGAAGCCAGTATATTATTTCCTTATCATTGAACAAACTGTATACATATCATTGAATTACAGCCAACAGCAATTCATTTTGCAAGTTGTCAGTTTGTCTGATTAAAAATGGTGGAATGTATTTACATACATTTTTCCACACCCCATCTGTATTATTGTTAGTCTTTGTAGACTGGAGTCTTTGTTCATTGATTTGCATTTCACTGATTTTCGTAGTCTTGTGTCCCGACTGAGTGCCACATTTTATGATTGTGTGTAAAGATAAAAAAGGTTCAATGAGTATGACCTCATTGTGGAATCTAATCATAACCATATTCACCTCCCTGCAGGTTTTTAGTTTTTCCTAGCATGGGCCAAACTCTACAGACAGTCACGGATGAAGGGAACTGTACTCTGTCTGAGAAAGCTGTTCTCCAGCTTGCACTACGACTAGTGAGTGTGCTATTAAACGACTTCACTCCCAGATTTGATGCTATTTCCATAGTCATGCCATTCTCAATGAAAAGGTTGTGTTTATAGTATGTGTGCTTGTATGTGTTTTGTAGTTGGATGCACTTGAATTCATTCACGAGAAGGAATATGCCCATGCAGACATCCATGCAGGAAATATTTACATCAACACTAACAGTCACCCAGAGGTCAGTAAGCATGTCCCTTATGAACTGAACACAAATGCTCTATATAATTCTCAAGTATTAAAGCGTTTGTTTGTGTTTTGTAGGTTTTCTTGTCAGGGTTTGGTCATGCATTTAGGTTTTGCCCTGGTGGAAAGCATGTGGAGTACAGACAGGGTAGCCGCACTGCACACCAGGGTAACATCAACTTTATCAGCATGGATTCTCACAAGGGGGCTGGTGAGCATCAGTTGCTTATTGCATTATTTACATTATCCATATAAGAAAGCAAGTCTAATTTGCATGCCCATTGGTGTTTTGCAGGTCCCTCTTGTCGTAGTGACCTGCAGTCTCTGGGTTACTGTATGCTGTATTGGATGACAGGCTCACTACCCTGGAGTCACCACTCTCAAACAAGCTCTGCTATTGCTGCAGAGAAGGAGAGGTCAGTAAAATCACAAAAACACCTTCATCAGGCATGTATTCAAGAAAGACCGGCTGCATAAACTGCTTAAACTAGCCTTACAAGTTAGTCATCCATTTTTTTTTTTTCTGCAAGACTGGTCATAATTTTAAGTCAGTTACATAAGAAGGTAAATTGGTCTAAATTGAATCCATGAGCCAAGAGCTTTCACTGGCTTTTCAAAAGGCCCTTAGTCTAGAAAAACTGTCCCTTTATTGAGTGTACTTTTAATCAGTTTAAATACAAGCGCCTGCTAACTGACTATTTAACCATACCATATGCATTTAGAATCATAAAGGAACATTACTACTGGATGTAGAATTTTCAAGAATGAAAACATACCACTTTACAGAGGTAAGGCTACAATTATGTGCTTTTAAGTTGAATATGTTTTCTGCTTGCCTACAGGTATATTTCTGATATCCCTGGACTTGTGAGTTACTGTTACAAACAGAAGAAAGCTTCAGGTGAGCATGCATATTTCTATTCTCACTTCATGTGTTTAGTGCTAGTGAAGATGTGTGTGTGTGTGTGTGTGTGTGTTAGGGGTGTGCAATATATATCGTTTGCGATAATATCGTAATTGTTGTTTTAACGATGTGCGATTTGACATTATCGAGTATTTTGCAAAAAAACAGCCCCACAGAGTGCACTCATACATTACATGAAGTCTAGACTAGTGCGAGTGCGCATTTAGAGTGCCTTTCACTGCATGATTCATTCTAATGAAATGCCTTTAGATTGATCACAAATTCAAGACATGGGGGCAGAAAATGTATATATTTATACCACTTCAAATAGCCTAGTTAATCAATTTCACATGAAGAATGCTGTTTTTTCTCCGAAAATGACCATGATTACAAATGTGATATAGATTTTTTACAACAGTTCAATAAACAAGAAGTTAATTAAGAGACTTACGTTTTAGACACCATATTTCCTGTTTTTGCGCTATTTC